AGGGTATGTGTTCCCAACAATGAGTTTATTCAGAAGTGATTGTTGGGTGAGGCGTATCGTAGTAGCTACACCCTTCATCTCGGTGCTACTAAGATGTATCATGACATGCAGCATCACTAGTGGTGGCCAGGCATGAAAAAGGATTTTATAGAGTATGTTAATAAGTGTTTAACTTGTCAGAAGGTCAAGATAGAGCATCAAAAGCCATCAGGATTGTTATAGCCTCTGGAGATTCCTAAATGAAAATGGGACAGTATTTCAATGGATTTTGTATTTGGTCTGCCAAGAACCCAAACTAATTTTGACTTTATCTAGGTAATTGTAGATCGTTTGACTAAATCAACATATTTCTTACTGGTCAAGACCACCTATACGGTTGATAAGTATGCCGAGATCTATATTAAGGGGATTGCGCAATTACATGGGGTACCAAGGGATATTGTTTTAGACCGTGATCCTCGGTTTACATCAAATTTATGGCAAGTTATTCAAAGGGCTATAGGCACGGATCTGAAGTTTAGTATGTCTTATCATCTATAAACAGATGGACAGACTGAGTAGACGATCCAGACATTAAAGGATATGTTGAGATCATGTGCTCTAGAGCTTCAGGGAAGCCGGAATAAACATTTGCCTCTGGTGGAGTTTGCTTATAATAACAATTATCATGCCAGTATTCAAATGGCTCCTTATGAAGCATTATATGGAAGACGTGCAGATCACCTCTATAGGTATGAGCTGAGTGAGAGGACAATGATGGGACCGAATGTGGTAGATAAGACCACAGAGAAAATCAAATTGATCCAACAAAAGCTTCTTATGGCGTAGAGTAGATAGAAAAGTTATATAGATAATCGTCATAAGGACTTTTCTTTGATGTTGGGGATCATGTATTTCTCAAAGTTTCACCATTGATGGGTGTTGGACGCTCAACTCGAGCTAAAAAGTTGTCTCCTCGACATATGGGTCCTTTTGAGGTTTTGAAGAAAGTTGGGCCAGTAGATTATTAGTTGGTATTACCGCCTTAATTAGCGGGTCTACACAATGTGTTTCATGTGTCACAGCTGAAGAAGTACCAGCTAGACCCGTCGCATGTGATAGAACTTGAGGAGGTTGAAATTTAGGATAATTTAACCTACCGAACTGAACTAGATCGTATTGTGGATGTTAAGGATAAACAGCTCAGCAATAAGACAATCCGGTTGGTAAAAGTGATCTGGAAAGGGATGGCTCCAAGAGATGTAGCCTAAGAGATTGAAGATCAAATGAGGAAGGAGCATCCACGGTTGTTTTCCTAGGTATGTTTCTCTCTTTGATTCATGAATTAGCTTGGATTTTGGGGACAAAATCCTTTTAAAAGGAGGGGAGAATGTAATATCCCAAAATTTTTAAGACTCGAGTTTATTTTAAAAATAAAATATCTGTAATTAAATTAAAATTAAGAATAATTTGATAGAGGTCCCGAGTTTGAATTTTACTCAGCAAAAGTTTAGTTTTATTTTATTTTTAACTATGGGAAAATTACGAAAGTTGACCAGAGCTTTTGTGCTATGATAAAAAATGTTAGGCTCTTTCTTTTAATTTTCTCCAAAATGTTTTAAGAGGAAAATACACGCAGAAATGAAAAGGAAACAAGAAAACAAAGGAAATAAATGAACAAGAGAACGAGATGAAAGAGAGGAATAAGAGTGGAGAAAGAGAAGGAGTTTGGCTTGGATCTAGGAGGCTTTACGACTGTTGCGAGCTCGACTATACGATAGGTAAACTTTCTACTTCAATCCTCTTCCTTCTCTCTTGATTTTCTTCAATTTTGTAAGAGGAAATTTTTAAAATTTGATCCAAAAGGCTTTATTCTTGTAAGCTTTAGTTTCCTTAGGTCCTTAGGAGGTTGTTTTGAGTTTCTATATGATGTCTTAATATTTTGAGTGGGTAATTGGATGAAAAATAGAGTTTTAGGGCAAAAGTCAAATCCCAAGAGGTTGGATTCCACTCCTCAATGGTTTAAGTCTATTGATTTAGTTATAATTTTGCTATTTGAGCTCAATAAGATTTAAATTAAGATTTAATTTTTATTATAAGGGCTAATGGTGAAAGTTGGTGACACTAAGTGAAGGTTTTTAATTGATTAAAAATTATATGAATTAGAAATTAGCCTAGTGATGACTAATAAATGGTTTTGGTAGTTAACTGATGCTATGTGACGAATTGATTTAATATATGGACCATTAGGATGGATTATGGCTCATTGACCCAAGTTGTGGGGTATGAGTTATAGTCTTCTTATATGCTATTTGCGATGAAAAGTGATGTGTATCACTTATATGTTGTAGGAAACTATTGGTGAAACTTATTAAGAAGTTAAGGAACAAGCCAAGTCTTATTTTGTACAAAGGGAACCCTTTTGATACCAAAGGGTTGAGGTAACAGGGGAATTTATATTTTTTTATTGCTTTGTTTAGCTATTTTTGAGTAGATAATATTATCTAGCATAAATTACATGTTTTAAATAACTGAAATGCAAATAAAATGTGTTTTAGAAGGATTTATGGGTCATTGCTTTAATAATAATGCATTTATATTTACTATCTATTTATTAATGATGTTACTTATGAAAATAAGATTATTAGCATGCATTGTGATCATAAAAAATGAGGAGTTTCACTTATGGAAGTGTAACTAGGTTTAATACCTTAGATAGGCTAAAGAACCGCTTAAGAGATGAATTATGAGTATTGTACTATCTTGAGTGTTGAAGTGGTCAATAATCAGAAAAGATAGAAAAAGGTAGAAGGCATGATCTCGATGGGAGTTCACCAACAAGAAGATGTGGTCTTGTGATATTCTATGGCTTAATGTCAGTACTTAGTGTTTCTTTTCGTATTATGGGTTTAGTACACTAAAGTGGTTAGTGGACTGAGTGTTCGACACCTCTCAGTGGGAGAGGGAATCCGGCATATGAAGTGTGAGGTTGAGTGCCTAGGCCAAGGTAGCCCTCATATGGAGAGTAAGTCAGGCTAGCTCTGGGAGGGAGTTAGCTTTGACTTTAGAAGGGAGTTAGCTTTGGGAGGGAGTTAAGATTCACGTCGAAGGGGTATAGGCGGTTTGGTGGATCAGATCATGCCTTAGTTTATGTTTTGTACTTGTGGAAGTACAGTGGGTATAAGGTTTACCTATAAGCTAAGGAGGGGGCATTCTGTTGGTCAGGAATGGCCATATCGACCTATCTCTTACATTCAAGCATTTTAATTGATTAATTATATGTTATTTTGAATCTATTATTTATTTACTTAACTATGACTTTCCTTGTAACAAGAAATATTGATTTCTTTGTTATTGAGACTGTGGTTGTCTCACCGCTCTCTTTTCAATATTTCCAAGTCTAAGCGAAGGAACTAGTTGTGGGTGGGGAAAGGAGCAGAGCTAGGGGTTGTTTGTAGATTGTAAAAATTGCAATCCCTTTCTTTTGAGCAAATGTATTGTAATGTATTTAGGATTAGGGTGCCAATATGATGTAATTATGTTAATATGTGTGTGAATATGTGTGGATTGTGTGGCTTGTACATAAATTTTTATCTGTTTGTAGACTTGTGGTTAGGAAATTTGGTTATGATGTATGGTTTTAATGGATTTATTCAATAGATCAAGTTTCTACTATAAGCATATATTTATTTTGATATATATGTGATTTTAGAAGCAAATGCAAAGTGATTGCATTGCAAATGGTGTGCTATAGGCAAGCATACACCTTGGATAGAGAGAGTGGGTGTGTGGGCCTCACGGAGATCTTTGAGCCAAGTGAAAATATTTAACATGTGTATTCATATGTGTATATGATATTTAGAATGGTTTTTGGCCACTCTTGTGTGACTTGTGAATTTTTGGGACTTAGGGTCCATTTTGGGAAATGGTACCTGGGTGATTAAATTTTAGTATAAAGGGTTTTTCTATCATTTAAATATTCTATCAGGTGTTTTTAGTCCTATTTGACATGTCCAAAGTGTTCTCACAATTTTGTGACCATTAGGATGAGATTTAGACAATTTTGAATATGGTATTTACCAAAAATATTGCACTTTTGCATCCAGGTGTCCAAATCTTAATCTGATCGTTGGATTTCTCTAAAATTTGGGTCACAAGTAAAACTTTTTACAAGCTTCATGTGGGCTTGGGAATCACATCGATCAGAAACTGAATGGAGAAACGGTGTACTCCGAAATTTGATCTAGAGGTGCTGTCATGACAGCAACAGTGTGATATTAGGACATGCACGAATTTTGATCCAACCATTGGATCTTTGTAGTAGCCTTTAAATGTGATGTGTGGGCTTTGGAAATGCTTTGATCAGAGGTCGGATGATGAAATGGTATACTTTAAAAGTTAGTTCGGACGTGCTGTCATGATAGATGACAGCAAAAAAAAAAAGACCAAACTTGTAATATGTCCAATTTTTAATCCGATCGTTACATCTTTTTAAAATTTGGTGCACTACTAGTAATCATTAAGAAGGACGTGTGAGCTTTATAATTGCTTCGATTGGGAGCTGGATGATAGAACGACACCTCCTAGAAGTTGGTCCGGGAGGGTTGTCATGATAGCAATTTAATGTTGTCATGTCAGCATCTTTTTACCTCACTTTCATCTAGTTTGTTTCTGTGCACTATAGGTAAAACCTATAAATTTTTTTTAAAAAGATTTTAAATGTTTATTTTGCAATCGTGTATTTATTTAGTGATTTAAATAATTTATTTCTTAAGCTAGTTTTATGATCAATTCCTTAACTACACTTAATTTATTTGAATTGTGTGATTTTTGGATAATACTCGGTAAGTGTTACAAGGAGGCTGAGTGATTGTAAAGAAAAGATAAGGAGAGGTTAGGCCAGTCATCAGTGAGGGGTGCATAAAGACAATAATAAATGCCGGCTACATTTGATACTTTTTTCTTCTTCTTAAGTTGTTAGTATAAAATTTGTTCTCACACAAATGGAGTTATGCAATTCTGGCATTGAAAAACAACAATTGAATTTAGTGTGATTGAAGCGAACTTCCAATTTATAGGATCTTAATTTTCGTTTTTTTTTTGTTTTTTTAACAGTGTGCTGGTCAATTTGCCACAATTATAATGATAATGAACCTGCGTGACTGTCCCACCCGAAATACTCAGCAGACTGAATCGTAACCCGCCCAAAATCTTTAGGTAGCGAACTTCAATTCGTCAATTTTAACGGGAACCGCATCACTCACATAAACGAAATGCCGAAGCGCGATTCTGATTCCGAATCTGAAGATGCGAATGACAGTTCAAGCTCCGAGGAGGCTGAAGCTGCCACCCATGGCCAACATCAAGGCGTTTCTGAGTATGAGAAACAAAGGCTATCAAGAATTGCGGAGAACAGAGCAAGGTTGGAGGCTCTAGGGTTGCCCAAAATGGCGTCCTCTTTAAAGCGTTCTAGTCAGAGTGTTATCGACAAGAAGAGGAAAAAGAAGGTTGGAGACGATGAAGAATACGTGCCTGATGATGCGGAAGTGATATTAAGTTCTTCGAGTGGAGAGGATGGGCATGACGACGACGACGACGACGACGACGATGAGGATTTTGTCAGTAAAAAAGCTTCCCAGTCACGGAAAAGGAAGGTAGGTCAGCATTTATGGCCTTCGATTCTATGTTATTTTCTTTACTCAGTTAAGTTGGTTTTTTTTTTTTTTGGGGGGGGGGGGGGGGCGCTAGACTCTGGGCTTATGGTTTGTCTGGAAGGATTATTTTTTGGGATTAATTTTACTTTTTTAAACTTGGGTGCAAAGAAGTTATTTGTGTGTGGAATTTTGAACCCTCTGCTCCTATAATAGCTTGGCTAAAGTGAATGATATATCGTTAGGTGTAAAACACTCCTCAGTTTTGCTTCGGTGGGTTTATTCCATAATGTTTTTTTTGTCTCTAATAGATATACGCTTTCCTTGTATACATGATGACATTAGACCATTGCAGTGATATTAATGGAATGGTAACGAGTACGACCAGAAGTCCAGAAGAAAATATGGCATGATTTTTTTAGACAGTTTATTTAATTGATGTTTTGAAACTTAAGAAAATGACGTGCCTACTGAGATAGAACCTTAACAAAGATAAATTATTTTTTTTCATGGTTCGTGGTGTGCATGACTTGAGGAAGATTAGAAAGTAGGATAGATTCTCCAGCAATGTTCTTTTCTTCTATGTTAATTCCAGTTTTGTTATGCTATGGATATAAGTCTCTATTTCTTGCTATTCAGATTAATATCTCAGTTCACTAGTCAATCGTATTCCTGTGCATGCATCGCACTAGTCAATCAACTTTGGCTGATTGTTTGGTTTGGTGGCAAGCAAAAGTTGATTAATAGTAAAGCATAAATTATTCAAATTAAACAATGACTAACGTTCAACTAAACTAAGAATCACCTTGAGGGAGGATTTTAGATTTCCCATGATCAAAGTTCCGTAGAATTTGTTAAGAATAGTGACTAGTAAGCCTTTTGTATTGGCTGATGTGTTACTATGTAGTGGCCTTTTTATATAATGCGTGGGCCACAATAATACCTAATTTGTTATCTCAGCAAGTGCATCATGACAGACACTAGGATATCGAGTGGGGGTGAGGGATGTAGCACCCAAGTTATGGCTAGGAACGTTGGTTGAAAAAATAGTGATATATATATATATATATTTCTTAATTCTGTATATCATTTGTAAAGCATTTCAGACATGTGGTTGGATTCAGATGAGTTACTTGTTTAGCTTTGTACTTGGGCCCTTACAGAATGATAGGACCAGTAGCAAACTATGAACCAAGTGCTAATTTCAGATTTCAGTTGATATTTTTATATGCAAGAAAGGATTTTGCCCTAGCAGCCTTTTCATTTTAATTCTTTTGTGAATATTCTACTTCTAGTGAATTTCTTTGTAGACTCAATATCAACAGTCATTGACTGTTATAGTTTTATCTGATTATGAATTTCTTCAAAGTTGATAGCATCTAATCCCTCCAAATTCAAATTTTAGCAAATTTTAACCAACTCACACAGTATAAGAAAGTTGGTTAAGTATAATAATGTTTGAAATTAAAAAATTTGGCCTAAAATACTCTTGTAATTTTCTTGTAGTTTTTCTCATTAAAAACAAAAGAAGCATATGCTAGTTTCTCCTATAATAAAAAATGGATGGAGTATATAATTTCAATCTGTATGTAAGCTGCCAGAAGTCTTATAGCAAACTGGTTGTATTGTTTCTCAACTTATGAACATTGAATTGATTTTACATGATGGAAATGTAGGTTAATCTGGACGAAGATTAAAATTGCTTGGTTTTGTTCTGTGGCACACTTAAGGGTTCCATCCGAAATCTGTTTACTAAATTGTATTTCTTTAAACAGAATAATTTTATGATATTTTATTTATTACTATCTGTTTTAGCAGTACTCTTAAAACTATGCTTCCCTAGATATCTTCTTGCTTTTTATGAAATCGTGCTTTGCAAGTTCTTGATAAAAAGCAATTAAACTAAATCTCTCTGATGTGGCACGATGGTATTTCATCAGCACAATACATAGGTGAAGAAGTAGTCATCTGGTTTGAAGTAGTCATCTTGACATTTATAGTTAATTTTTGTTAATGCCAATTGCAGGTGAAGAAAAAAGGTTCAATGCCAAAACCTCAAGTTTCTAGGGAGGACCCTTGCAATAATTCACATCACATTGATGATGATGATGATAAAGCTTTGAGGCAGGTATTTTTATCATATTTCTTGTTTCTCATAGATCCTAAACCTGTTTGCGACATTGCTGAACAAATTTGATGTTATGAATTAAAAGAATCTTAAATGTCTGATTTTTGTGGATAGGCAATTGCTCTTTCACTGCAAGACTCTGCTGAAGGCTCATGTTTTTCTGAAAAGCATGTAGTGAATACTACACTTGTGGATACAATGGGAAAGAATCACATTCAAGAAGACAAGGGGAGAAGGAAGAACAAAAAATCAGTTTGTGTTTAATTTTATATTCATGGGCTTGTTTTTAATCCTTCCAATTCCTTTATCTACGGGTGGTTTTTGTTCTACTAAATTGATCCTTTGTCAGCAGTTTAATAGTCGGCTGCAAATGACTGAGGATGAAGTCATTGTACACTTCTTCCAGATTGATGGTAATTTCTGTTGCTTCTACTTGTATTCGTTGAGGCAAGGATGAAAATGGAAAGAAATCATGAGAAGCACGTTAACTAGTATTCCATATCTGGAATGGAGGAACCGTATGCTCTATTCAAATTGAGAATGCGAGATACATTATTCCATAATGGCATCCTCTTTATCTTTATAAGCCATTCATTCTAACCAGAAAAAAAGAAAAAAGAAAAAAGGAAAAAGACAAGCTAAAAACTACCTTTTTTTTCCCCTTGTAAATGAATGAAAATTCAATGAAAGCTATTCAAAAAACATAGAAGGCAACTGCTGGCCTTGGGAGCCACTTTCTGGCCTTACTGAAGAAAAAGGCATCCTTTTCTCTGGCGATCTTATATTCATTTTCAGACTCTGAAACACTGATGAGGAAAATCCTGCCTTGCAGAAACTGGCAAAGGGAGTATAACAATGAGGGATTTACAAAGAGTTGCTGCAGATCATGATTTTGTGTGGACAGACAAAGAGTTATGTGACATGATCCACTGCTTTGATAATGATAACGATGGAAAGGTAAGTAGTTCAGGTGCTTAATGCTCTTGTTTTACCTCTATTTCATAGCAACCTGTTGTATAATAATTAGATGGAAGGGAAGAGAAAGAGAGAGACGAGAGAGGAAGAGAGAAATAGAGACTCAGTTCTATTATTTCCAAAGCTAATTACAATACCCCTCTTCTGCCCTTTTATAGCCAACAATCCCTAACTGTCCTAACTACCTATTAACTTTTTAACTAATTCCTATTTATCTATTTATTGCATGACAGTACCCACTCCCTAGAGAGTAGAGATCCTTGCTCTCAAGTGTCAAGTACAGAAAATCCTTGGAAAACTCAATTGCAATCTTAAAGATGACCTCAAAATTGAATATTGCTATCTCTAAAGGTGTTTCTTGGCCTATTTGAAGTGAAAGCATATGAGATTGGCCCATATTCACTTGGATCCACTAAACACTTAGTTATTGGGCCTTTAATGCCTGACCCAATATAGATTCTGGCTATCTTCCTCCTTCTTCCTGGACTTAAGAACATCATACCATCACCACCATAGTATTAGTAACCAACCCACGTGAGCTTGGTAAGCCTTTGACTTTTAAACACCTAAAACACGCACCCACATGAGCCTAGGGAACTTCTTTCTCCTTCTTGAAGCTCAAACATACTCCCCACTTTGCAAAGACCTCCGGCTAAGCAAATGAAATGAAGACAAATGACAAATAGACAACAATGACTGAGACAGAGATGGCAGCAGAAAAACAGACGTTGGTGAAGCAAATGCAGAGGAGAGTCACATGGTAGCTGAAGAATAGAAGCAGACAACAATGATGCCTTTGGAGGTATAAAACATACTGCAATAGGGAAACTAGAGAAGACAGCAGTGATGACGGCATCCACCTAATCTTCAGCTTCCCTCAGGCACCCCACCCATCCATCTGAGCTGGGCTTGCAAATGAAGGTTGTGACAGTAGTCTAGAGCTGGGAATTCGGGTTGGCTCTTTTTTCCCACATTTTACATTGGGTTGAGCTTGGAAAATTGGGGGAAAATGATGAGCAGGACATTTTTTGCTCCAGTTTAGGAGGCTTGAGAAAAGAAATTGGTGGGCTTGAGCTAGCCCTAAAGCCTTTTTTTCTCCCCTTTTTTAAAATTATATTCTTACCTTAGGTCCTAAACCCTAACCACTCTCATCTTTTGCAACCTCTCATTCTCACACTATGCCAACACTAGGCACTAACTAGCAATGCTCTCATCTTCAGCTCTCAAATCTCAATCGCTCACACTTATCTTCATCACTCAAATCTCGATCTCAACCTCAAACATACTCTTGCTCTTTGTATCTTCATCTCTTGCTCTTTGCTGCTCACTCACTTGCTCTTTACATCTTCATCTCTCACTCTTTGCCACTTACTTTCTTGCTCTCTTTAATTTTGCAGAAACAAAACAAAAAAATTTGGACTTTAGGGCTTGGCCTCTGGCCCTGATAATTTCAATGGTTTTGTCTCCATACAAAAGATTGCTAAAATCTTCCTGGCAACATGATGTCATGTTGACAGATGTCATTTTTGAATTTTCTGTTTACATTTTCTTCTTTCTAATTATGTATATCTCATTTTGTCTGTTGCAGCTAAGCCTAGATGATTTCCGGAAGATAGTTGTTCGCTGCAACATGATCAAAGGGTCAGAAAATTCTTGATGGAATGAAGGTTAGGATAGTACAGTAGGTAAGGCCAATATTTAGGGCATTTATCATAGGATGTTATCATAATGTTTTATTCTTTATAATGCTTTACTAAATAGATACTAATATGGAACAAATAGACATTATGTGTTTTGGAGTTTGGCCATATCAGTAACATGTTTAATTACTTAGTGTGCTATGATGCTATCTAATTGACATGGCTTTCAAGCGTGATAATTTTTCAGTTATGTATGTATATATAATTATATGTTAGTATATTTTTTAAAATTTTTAATAAGCTGCATTCTCAAGTGGAGAATAATGTAGCTTCTATATATAACTCATTGTTTACTAGCTAAGTTAATAGTGTGACTTTTGAATGAGGCTCCATGCCTTTATTTCTTCTCTGTGTTTTTGTTTTGAATGTCCTCCTGCATAGTCTACTCCAAAACAATCATGGATCCTTTTGTTCTTGCGTGGAGGACTTGCAAATGACACAGAAGCCATTCGAGAGACTGGTCCCTTCACTTTTCTGGTCATTACTTTTGGGGTTACTGCTGCTAATTCAGCCAAAATCTCACTTTTTGCCACTAAAAATGGATCATATATGCTTCTCTAATTGTCGTTGTATTAGACATTAATGAGATCCAACCAGAAAAAATGGTGTATTAAATGCAAAAATACAGCAACAGAGTTAAATGTGAGGGGAAAACCCTAAGGTTTTGATATTAATGGACCAAAAGAGAACCGAATCAGTGTTACAATGACACTCACTGATTTTGGCCAAAACCCTATCACCCCATAAGATCAAAATACAGCAATAAATTTGCTAGTACCACCATAGGGAGTGAATTTAATTTTGATTGAGCACTTATTTGTAAAATGAATTTATCTATACCCTTGGGCTTTACTTATTTCTTTTTTTGAGTTAATGTAATGGGGTCACCATTCTTAGTTATTCATGAATTGCCTTTCTTCCTTAAATAATCTTTAGGTCCTTTTGACACGAATCCTCATATTGGTGATACAAGGGCCTGGTTATTCAGACTTAAGAAATTATATTGGCACACTCTTGGTACTTACTAAGCTATTTGACACGAAGGCCGACATTGGTGATAAAGGTTCTTGGTTACTAGGCTCAGTTGGCATTAGTGAAGTAGGTAATTGGCATTTTTTTCTTTTTTCCTTTTTTTTAGGATAGACATGAATAAATATGACAGATGTTCTGTGCACTAAGTTTATTTTTGATAAACTCTCATGGGATATTGACAGCCTTTTTTTTCCCAAACACATATTTGTCATTAGTAGTTATATAGCTAAATAAAATAGTACGAAAGAGCAAAAAGTTCCAAAAAAAATTCAAAATTTTTCAGAATTAAGGCCAATTACAGCATGTAAGTTGCTGAGGAAATTATAACAGCATTAGCAATAGAAAATTATCATGACATACTTTTCACCACACTTAAATTCCACGTTGTCTTCCATGTTTGTAGAAAAGAACAAAGATAAAGGAATTGAAATTTTTCTGGTTTAATTTGCTTTGATGTGACTTTGATACATTTAAAAAGCTCCTTTTTAAGCGTTGTGATCCTGCAATTCATCTTAGAGGGGATTTTAGTGATTAAATAAAATTTCATGGGGATAACAAACAATAAAAAAAATTAAAACAAATTAAAATAATAAAAAAAATGAAATAAATAAAGAAATAAAAAAATTGGGTTGCCTCCCAACAAGCGCTACATTTAATGTCTATAGTTAGAAATTGCTGTAAAAATCAAAAGATGCCTTCTGAGTATGATTTGAATCCTTGTCTTTGTGAATTAGAAGACACCTTATCTCAACTAACATTCATCTTTCTCTTAAAGAGGGTTCTAGTTAATGAGTAAGGGACTTTTCAATTTGACTCCAATGTATGAGTGTTAGTACTTTTATGAAGACTAATGCGTAGATCTTTAAGATGTTTTTTTAGCTCTTTCCCTTTTCCATTGCTAATTTCCTCCTCTTTATTTTCTAAAGTACATAAGGGAGGGTTCTTTGGATGCTTCACCTCTTTCTGTGTCACTTGTATGTTACATAAAGATTTTTTAAAAATAAGGAGGTTAGTAGCTTTAGTAAATTTAAATATCTCTTGTTCCTTACCTACTTTGAATATTAATTCTCCCTTAGGCACATTAATTAAGGCACCTCTGGTGGCTAAAAATGGTCTTCTTAGTATAAGTGAGACATTTTAATTATCCTCAATATTTAAAATAATAAAATCTATAGGAATATAACGTTTATTGACTTTCACTATGACATCCTCAACTACATCATATGGATATCTGAGTGATCTATCTCTGAGTTGAAGAGTCACATTGATCGGCATGATATCTGTTATGCCAAGTTTCTTACATAAAGAATAAGGTATTAAGTTAACACTCGCACTCAAATCACATAAATAATTTTCAATAGTATTAGAACCAGTATCATAAGGAATAGTGACTCCCTGGATCTTTCAATTTGGATGATAGCTTTTTTTATAGAATCATACCAAGAAAATGTTGTCATTTGCGGGTTTGTCTATCAAATATCATCTTTTCATCTTTGGTTTTCTATGTATTGTTTGTAACCCTTAGTGGGTTGAGTATATGACTTTGGATTGTCCTTGTGTGTATAGGAAATTCTAAAAGGGAAACTCCTTGAGTATTTTGGCCCTATGTTCATGAAATTTGTGAATGTAATGAAATATAGGCAAAACTACCTAATTGCTACTCGTGGAATGTATAGATGAAATTATGGCTAGTGGTGTTAATGCAAATCCATTGGTCCCTGGAGCTTTATGAATGGTGATGAAGTCATTAATGAAATGTCTTAGGGATAACTAAGGAGAAAGATTGCAAATGTGAACCCAGTTGATTGCTTATAAGGCATTAGAACTACTAAATAATAAAGGCAGAAACCATATTACTTGTAAGTCTCAGGATAAGAATTAGGAATGTCTATGTTGTAAATGTTATGAGTTGCTTATCTGGAGGACTCGCGGGTTAAAAACATTGTGAATTAAGTGAGGGACGAGGTTGTAATTGATAGTTCTCAAACATGGCTTAGAGTGTTAGCACCACTGTAGGGAGTTATGGGAAGGATGTTGTGTATGAAACATCACACACCATAGAATATAATATATGGTGGCAAAGGTCAGAGATGCTGAGTAGAGAATATCAAACCACTAAATAGAATATAAAGGGATTAGGGGTTAAAGTGTAGACAGCTAAGAACTATAATCATTCTCCTATTCCAAACATACGCATTACTTGGTATTCGCACTAATTAAGGCTTAAACAATCGAGGAAAGGTGAAGTAGTGGTGCTTCACCTATTCCAAACACGTGTGTTACTTAGATATTTAAATTTCATGGCAAAATTCTTATTAGAAGAGGAGAGTTGTAAGATCTTATTTTTATTTGAGAATTTACTTTAAGAAAGTTATAAGAGTAAGTTTTTATTTAAAAATTTTGTAACTTCTCCCTATATCCTCCAAATACAGGAAAAGATTACTAGGAGCACCACATAAACACATCAATCACAAATCAAATGATTTATTTAAAAAGCTATGGCCAAAAAGTTATTTTATAAAACCATCCAAAATCAAACCATATCAGAGAATACACAACAGAAGAAAATCATATATTTATCTAATACGTAATGGACACAATCCATGAGCACTCTCATCTCAATTGTATGCATTTTCATCACAAAATCAAGTTGAGAATTGGTCCGTGTGCCGCGATACGCAGTATGTGCACCACGGCATATGGTGTAGAGCCACATACTCAACTTTTCTGTGTCATATGCAGCGGCATGTGTCACCAAGCATCGTGATGCACCCGTTCAAATTTCTACTGCCATTTTAATAGTAAAAATGACAATTTCTACAAGTGCCGTTTTCATATACGATATCTAATCACTAATTCAAGTGCCTACACATAGCTTAACTCATAAGCTAACTAATGATTTGAATATAATTTAACGGTCCGATCAAAATTTGAATACTCCAGTACAAAAAGTCACTTTTTCTGAAAAATTTACGCACTCAAACGCTCAAATCAATCCTCTTCTCTCATTAGACCATACAAGGCCTTGAATCAAGTTTAAAAGGATCTAATACACCTGATTGACTATAATTTATCACAATCATACACATATATCAAAATTTGACCCTTTAACGGTCAATTTTCATATTTCATAATTTTACACAAAATGTCATTTCTTGATGTAACTTGACCCACTTGACTTTTTACTCAATATAATCACGTACATTAACATTCCTAACACATGTATTATTTAATCTTAGCTTCAAATTATTCATTTCATCATAATTTCTCACTTGGACTTAAGATCCACCAATATTAACAATAATTCAATATAAATATACTCAAATCATAGCCCCTTAATTCATTACATCACATATACATACAATTGGGCTAATATTTTACAAAATTATTACTCAAGTCATGCATGCAATTCTATGACAACTCATACACACATATTCACAAGATCTTGGTTCATTACGCAAACTCAGAATATACATCGCTTCAACAACTCAAGCCGGATCAAACTCTTTTCTTGCCCTGATCACTGCCTAGTCCTGTAAATAAAAATCTTAATAATAGAATAATTCACTTCTATTAACTATTACATGTAACAATGTAAAAATAAAGCATAATATATCATTTAAATCTCATTAAAATAGCATATATCACAAGTTTCACTTAAATTACATTCTGTTTCACATTTCACCTCTTTACTCCACTCGTCACCACTTTCTCACATATAACATTCCATAATATGATTACTACCAACTGAACCTTCAAATCACCCCACATGAAATCATAAGCTCATCTTAAACTAATATACACTTTCATTAGCATTGCGCTCCCTGGAGTGGTAGAATCACTTGGTCAAAAATGTTCTATTTCACTACCGGACTATGACTTTCTCCCAATACACATAAAACGGTCTCGTTGATTCCAACACTGTATCACACAAACATTAAGGGAGACTTCGAGTGGGTTTAGTTAGACTCTTAGAGGTATAATTAATTTAATAAAGCTAATGAAAATTCTAAACTAAGTAATGGAATGAGTAAAAAGTATTATGTTAAGTCATAGACAGTGTTGGATATATACATGTGCCTAGTAATAATAAACTATAATATTAATTATAGATAAATGTTTTGTAGCTGTTATTTGTGATTGGAGACCCTGTGAAATTGTGCCTTGAGTGCCCCTTTTGATTGATTT